TCCTACCTTTTCGCGCATCTGCATCTTCTTTCTTCTGATCTTGTCTTTTCTGACTCTTCTCACCTCTGCTTTTCAACTGTCCATATTGTCGGAAGTTTCACTTCTAAACTTCCTTCGAATATCCACGATTAATCAACTATATTAACCTTATCATCAGCCATTGTTCATCACCATATTTTCCACTATGAAGGACCATTAACTGAGGCTTAACCACCGGTAATTCCCATGGCTAGCAACGCACCAAGTGCGGTGCAAGGATGACAAACCCGTCTTCAGCGACACCTTGGGCTTGGTCGGCTCCCGCGGCAGCCCCAAACCGGTCATGATGTCGATGTCCAAGAAATCCAAAGTTAGACCATTTTTGTATTAAAACCCATGGTTTTGGGGACCCTCCCATCTTAAGAAACAACCATTTCCTTTATATACAGTTTGGCGCAAACCAGCAAACTGAATTCCTCAGGAGAGCCTGATCAGTTGCCCTGGATTGAAAGTGAACCGCCGGTATTCACTGCGCATGGAGCCGGTAGTATGTGTATGTATTTGGAGGTTTCCATAAATGGTGGTACCCCCAAATGGATGCTTTATGATGGAAAATCTTATGAAGATTGATGATTTAGGAGTCCCCCGTTTCAGGAAACATCTATATATAAGGTTAATGAATGTTGTGTAATGATCATACAATAATTGATCTACAGTAATGTGGTAAACCCAATAATAAACCATCTCAAAAGCACCATCAATGGGTTGTACAAAGCATCCCCAAATGGCCCAAATGTTTTTTCGGCCTTGACCTGCAGCAACCTGAGTGAAACAATCACTTGTTGCCAACATTTCAGTATCGCACAAACCAGTTGAGCACATAAATGTACTGTATGGAGTATGGAGCATGTGGGACTTGGATTTGATATCTTGGCTTTGTTTGAAAATAGTGTGAAAAATACTTTACTTCGAGTGATCCCCACCCTGGCATTTCAAGTCATATATTCTGACATATATTTTGACATTTTACCTAACATTCTATCTGACATTTATTATGATATTCTATCTGGCATATCTTCCAACATTTTATCTGGTATATATTCTGATATTCTATCTGGCATATATTCTGGCATTCTATGTGGCATTTTTTCTCGCATATATTTTGGCATTCTATGTGGCATATATTCTGGCAGT